TCGGATGTCTAGGTTCAGGAGATCAGAATATGTTTTCTAGTGTGTTCCCGTAAAACCAGTAAAAAGATACAGATCTTTTAAAACATATATATATATACCCCCATCTGTTCACATCATAAATGTGTAGGTTCCCCAGAACCATACACCCAACTGCACATGCCATTTAGACCCTGAGCACAAAGCCGAGGAGTCTGTAGATAATCTTCCTCCAACAATAAACCCCCAGATAAAACATTTCTCCGTCGGTAAACAGATATATCAAAAATCAAAACATAATTCAGATCTGATATCAGAACAGAATCCAGGTTAGGAATCAGAACAGATTTCAGATCAGATGTCAAAACAAAATTCAAATCAGAAATCAGATAAAATATTCATATAAGTAGGGAACACACTAGAGTTTCCAGATATTATTTAGAGATACAGGATAATCTTATCGGCCAGAGAAACACAAATTTTCAGTTTACCGATAGAATGTCGGGAATTATAATCACTATTAGAAGAGTTTGTTAACTGACAAAATCATCAGTTATTCATATTATGCTTATCATGATCATCTTATTCGGGCATTTATCGGAAACTCTACGTAATAAGAAGGGTATTCAAAATCCTTTATATATGAGTTACTTATGTTTTCATACATGACCAGAGTGATTTGAGCTGATAAGGAATAACAAAGATTTAGGACTTTTACAATCTGTGTCGATTGATCAGATTATCGAACAACTCTTAGATGAATAGTTCCCAGAACTAATGCTTGTCGATGGTTCAATTCATTGTTCTTTCAGGGTATTTACTCTTTAATACCACAAATTCTTGTCCATAGATCATTTTCGGAATCATCGATGAATAGATCTTCCAATGTCTTTATTTCATTTCCACGCTTTCACAATATCATGTAATGCTGGCGTACTTGATTATTTTGTTCATAACCCATTGAAATTGTACACTATGTAAACTCATCAGAGTTTCCAGACTTATCCAAATCACTTACTAAATCCTCAGTCATTGAGGTTACCTAGTTCATTTAGCAGGCATGTCCATTCCAGTTACTTCGGGATTTTCCAGAGTAATTCAAACGTTCCTGAATTTCAGATACATGTTGTACTTTCGTTCCATTTAATTTGGTCTTCGTGGTTGATTTGTCGAACAAACGTCCAATTCTTAGTACTGAATGCGATCTAGAGTTGAGCTGAGCTGAACACTTCCAAAAATTTATCATCGAGCCAAAATTGAGAAGATGAACACGCATTCAAGTAATATCTATGCCATCCATGTATTGACATAGCTTTAGGGTTGATCTACTCACTTAAATTGTGTTCCATTACTTTTAAAGGTAGTCCAACACCTATGCTTATTTGGATTCCTTAATTAATCCAAAACATTTACTTAGTTTAGGCCATAAGGTTATTTTGGTAATTTTGCTGTTCAGTTTTATTCCATTTATTTCAAAGCTCGAGGATATTCAATCATTCATGAGCTTGGTGATATTCTTGGGTTATTTTTATTATAGGGGTATTCTGGTCATTCTACAGATCCGTTGTATTTCAATCATTTCTTTCCATCCTGTCTTATTATTAAATTCTAATTTATCATCAATTTCAGTCCCTTCGAACAATTTTGATAAAAGAGCACCCTGATAAATTGTTCTTCAGGCATTTACTCGTAACTCGGATATTTTCGGGTCAAGTGTCTTCTCAGATTTTTACCAACGGAATATCAAGAATTTTCTACACTAAGTCAAGATCTTAACAATCAAATTCGTACTTAATCGAGTTAAGTACAAATCCTCAAAGTACTTACTCATTCAGGGTCAACTCGGATTATTTTTCCTCTCAAGGGCATTTTCGTAATTTCCTAACCAGATAATTTCGATATTAGCTCTTAACGAAAATAATTATAATTTAAAAGATCCTATAGTCAATTGCTTTGCCGAACATTCTCTGATCTTGAAATTATTCCTTAACAAACTTCTAGCATCTTGTGTAAATCCTTTTTGGCATTAAAAACCAGCTATCCAAATTTTTGAAGTAAAACTAGCATTTCTTATGCACATCTGTAATTATATCGGATCAATATGTCTTTTCAGAGATATTAACCAACTTCCAGGGACGATTCTTGTCATCCTACAACATAAGGGTATTTTCGTAATTTTACCCTACCGGAGTATTCTCATAATTTTCCATCCAAGTACCTTTAACATTTAACCTTTAATGATATAAAATATAAGTTACAAATCCAGTGCTGATTTCTTTATCACCAATCACAAACTTGTAATTTAATTCTAACAATTTATCAATCTCTTATATTAGTAATTCGATCCGTATTCAGTTACAGAATTTCTACCACATTCATATCGATTGTATAAATTATTCAAGTCCACAAAAGTGATCAACGTTATCTTATTCATGCATTTACCAATATCAATATGTTCCATAAAGCATAAAGAGGTAGTAAAGTATTACCTTGATTTTCGTGCAATACTGATCGACCATTAAATTCCATTCGAACGCCATTGATCTTGAAATCATCTTCCAATATTTCCTCGGATCCATATCAACAGAAATTACATTAAAAAATGAAGCTTAATTGCGATAAACGGACCGAATCAGGTGATAAATCAGTCAAAAACAGTTTACCAGGTTCGAATTCGGTCAAAATCAAAGTCAACAGGTTTGACTGGAAATTTCGAGGCATTCGAGTCTGAATTTCGAAAAACGGACTGCGGAATCAGATTTGGAACGTCGAAAAACATCAGGATAGGTATACTCGGTCAAAGTCAAAGGTCGTTTAATGCTCGATCAAAGCCAGTCAAAGTTTTGGTCAACTATGGTCAACGCCAGTCAACGGTCAACGCAGGAACAGTCAACATTCGACCATTTTACACAAATATCACCTAACAGAAATTAATTACCAAATTAGCCACATTCTGCAAATATTTACTAATTAACACCCGAATTTTACACAAATAGCACCCAAACATAAATTAATTACAAAATTATCACCCAGACGATGCCCACTCTCGGGGGTGGCGCGTGTGGCATGTGAACAGTGCTATGGTGTCGGAAAATTCCCGGAAAAATTCCTAAAAATTATTTTAAGCGATTTCAAGGCACTTACAAAGATCGGTTCACAATTTTGAACGGCGGAGAGCTCGATTCTGAAACGTCGGAAACTTTGACGGTCTCACCCCTCCACGCGCCGCCGACGACGGAGAAACGAAGAACACCGGTGGACTCGGAACGATGCAAGGAACACGATGGTGCGGGAGGTGTCGTAAACGAATGACCAGATCATCGTGAATCGACGAAAAACCAATTGATATCGAGTTATTACCGACGATACTTCCGACTGAAATTAATGACGAACGACGATGATTTAGACGAAAGGTTTGAGGGGTTTTGTTCCTCGGTCGACAACGAACACGATGGTGGTATCGGTTCATCGATCGGATGTCGGACGGTGAGTAGATTGGAGTTGGAAGGAAGGTTGAGGAAGAAGAGAAAAACTGGAAATCTGCAGAAAAACATACGGGAATAAGTGTTATAATTCATCCCAAAAGAAAAATGGTCAAATCATAAATCTAGCCACTGAATTTCCTCACTTCTTAAAACGGTCTAACAACTTTGAAATCTTATAATTTAACCTCAATTTTCTTCCAAAATACCAATTAAATCCAATACTTTATAATTTCTTAAAATTTAGCCCCTAAATTGGGGTGTTACAGAGATTTAAACTGATTTACTAACATTGTCTTCTCTTCCCCAGCTTTTTATTGTTGCCTTAATCACAATGAGTGTTTTCATGCGGACGGCACTGCACCATAATACAATTGATGATGGAGGATTGTATCTAGGGGCTCTGTACTTTTCCATGGTTATTATTCTTTTTAATGGATTTACGGAGGTTTCAATGTTGGTGGCAAAACTTCCTGTTCTATACAAGCATAGGGATTTGCACATTTCTATCCAAGCTGGGCTTATACACTACCTTCTTGGCTGCTAAGTATTCCAACATCACTCTATGAGTCTGGTTTCTGGGTGGCAATCACATACTATGTGATTGGTTATGATCCTGATATAACCAGGTAAGCTTGTTTTCAAATAAATTTTGGCATGTATTGTGGCAGTTTTGAGAATAAATTGTCATTTTTAATTCTAAACAATGCAGATTTCTTCGACAGTTCTTGTTGTATTTCTGTCTGCACCAGATGTCTATAGCTCTTTTCCGTGTGATGGGATCCTTGGGAAGAAATATGATAGTTGCCAAAACTTTTGGATCTTTGCTATGTTGGCCGTCATGGCTCTTGGAGGCTATATCATTTCAAGAGGTAACATGACAGGCATGTTTGCCATGTGTGTGTGTATAGTAATTGCTGATGCTATATGATTATTTACTCTTGTTCAATCTGACAGATCGAATACCTAGTTGGTGGGTCTGGGGTTATTGGGTTTCTCCTTTGATGTATGCTCAAAATGCAGCTTCTATCAATGAGTTCCTTGGAAATTCCTGGCATAAGGTAATATCATAAAACATTTATTGTTACATCTGATGTATGCTTCTTAATAATTTGTGGCAATAGTAATGTTGTGTGGAGAAGATAAAAATCAGCAGAAATAACTGTTGAACAAGGGTTGATACTTGATACTTAAAGTGTTTAATGGTTCCATGACCATGCGTGTTTAAGCTTGTGAAAATGGTCTCTTGGTACTCCATCTATTTATTCTGCTAACATTAAGCTCTCTATATTAATATTTGTCTCGTTGATCTCTGGTCACTATCATGTGAGAAACATGTTCTATGAACTGTGAGCTGATTCAAGTTGGAATTTGGGTTGAATTAATGTACGTAGATCAACTATGGATATAAGCAACAAAAAGTTATTTCTTAATTTACAGTTGCAGCACTATTGGTCTAGGGTGAAACTTGAAAATTGAAGCCCACTGCACTAAATTTCTTTGCTTGTAGAGAGCTGGAAACTACACTAACTTATCGGCATTGTTGAAAGCACGGAGCTATTTTCCAGAGAGCTACAGGTATTGGATAGGTGTTGGTGCTTTGCTGGGATGCATAGTTTTGTTGAATCTCCTATTCACATTCTTTCTGGCTAACCTTAACCGTAAGCTATCCTGCTCTATTTAAATTTTATAGATCCTGAACTTCCTTTCTTGGCAAAACATTTAACATATCTGGTCTAAATACAATTAATTTTATACCTTGTCATTTACTACAGCTCTGGGGAAGCATCAGGCTGTTTTCTCCATGGAAGAGCTGCAAGAGAGAGACAGGAGAATGAAGGGTGAAAACGTTGTTACTGAACTGAGATATTATTTGCAGAATTCAGCCTCACTAAATGGTAAATAATAGACATTTTATATCGTTATATCTTTTTAATTTGTATCAGTATTCAGCCACGCATTTAAGTTTTCTATTCAACTGCTGGGCAGGAAAATATTTCAAGCAGAGAGGAATGATTCTCCCATTTCAACAACTTTCTGTCTTTCAGCAATATAAATTACTTTGTAGATATACCTGTAGTATAGTCTATTGACCTTTTCTATTTGTTTTGTGGAGATACATTGGTCAATTTTCTTATCTATGTATCTTTTCAGGAATTGAAGCAACAAGGAATAACGGAAGAGCGGTTGCAGTTGTTGGTCAATGTTACTGGAGCATTTAGACCTGGCGTGCTTACAGCTTTGGTTGGTGTCAGTGGTGCTGGTAAAACTACACTCATGGATGTTTTAGCTGGTCGAAAAACCGGAGGGGTCATAGAAGGGAGCATAAATATCTCTGGTTATTCCAAACGTCAAGAAGCTTTTTCAAGAATTTCAGGTTACTGTGAGCAGAATGATATTCATTCTCCTTGTATGACTGTTCTGGAATCGCTTCTATTCTCTGCTTGGCTTCGGTTACCATCAGGTGTTGGTGCCGAGACACAAAGGTAATTATAAAAGACCTCTCGTTTGCTTTTTTCAGTTTAAGTATATTTGGCAGCTTAGTCTATCATATTGACTTATCTAGGGATGATTTTTCAGGCATTTTGTAATATCCAAATTTTGACCAGTGACTAAAATGTAAGTTTTGAAAGTTTAGTAGCTAAAGTATAAACTTTGAAAAGTATAGGGACCGAAATTGTAATTTTTAAAAGTTATATATTTTAGTCTGTAAATGAACAATTTGGATTAAAACAGAGATTTTAGTGGGAATCATATTTTTGGTACGAGAATTGTGTTAAAAGCTATAAAGCAGTAAAGTTCGGTATTGAAATCGAATATATGGATCGAATTGGAATTTTACGAAAATTTAAAGGATGTTATAAAATGGCTGGAAATATTATTTATATATTTTAGAAAAGTGAAATTTAACATGGATCAATGGAATTAAGGTCGATTTTTCATGTTAAGCCAAAATTTTGGAATTAGGTGACTAAATTTCAACTTTCAAAAATTTCAAGGATAGAAGTATAAAATTAGAATTAAAATATTTTTTTGGATATGATAAGGTAAGGGATGATGTCATAGAGTGATAAAGTTGTAGTTATGGAGTTTCATTAATGGTAAAAATGAAATTTTCTATTAAATTGAATAAAAAATTCAATTATAATGGTATTTAGTCATGTGATAAGAGATATTTATCATGAGAATAATAATAACAGATTGGCATTTTCAAATTCTTCTTCAGGGGATGAAAGTTCAGATTCTAAAAGGTGAGAAGCATTGTTTTTAACTTTTGGTCCATTTTTACTAGAATTTTTAGTTAGGTTATTAAGGATAAAATAAGTTACATGAAATTCTCTTTCATTTAGTATAAAAATCTTCATGTTTCATGCTCAAGTTGGTAAGATGATGAAGGGGAAGTGTGATTTTTATAATTAAAGATCGATTTTTGATATTAGAAGTGTTGTAAGAATTAATGATGAACCTAAGGATGCAAATTAATGAAAGCAGATTAGATTTTGAATATGATAGTGAGTTTGAAAATTTACCAGAAATTCTATAAAAATGATTTGGAGGTGATTTTTATATATTTGTGTTTTTATATCAATCTAGTTTTGTTTAAAATAAACGAGGATCAATTTCAAGGTATATATAAAAATATATGAATTTTTAACCGAGGGAAGGTCAGAAAAACGGGGCAATAGATTCTGCACAAAACAGATTCTGTCGGTCAACTTTGAAAATTCACCATAAATTATACAAAATGAACTAGAAGGAGTTCTTTATATGGATATATTCATATTCGAGTCTAGTTTTTAACGGAAGAAACGAAATTAAATTCCAGTCTGTATATCAATACAAAATATTGATTCTTTAAAGGTAGTGTGAATTGTCTGAATATGGAAATTTTAGAATTTAAGTGGAAATGAATTAGAAGCTGAAGAGTAATGTTTAAATGTTTGAGTATATTTTTAGATGCTTGGAATTGAATTTAAATGGAAAGAGACCATTTTGAATAAATTGGAAATGTTGATAAGAATTCTAAAAGAATTCATTTTAATGGTTAGATGGTGAAATTTGAAGGGTCTTATAAATATTGGGGACTTGTTTGCAAGTTCTTAAATGTAGAAGTATTATTTGATTAAATTATTGAATGCTGAAAAATTTATTAGTATGTTGAATATTTAATTAAATATTGAGTTGAGGTTGAATTACAAATTTATAAAGTTAAGTGTTGAAAATCAAAAGTTTAGGAAATTTGGGTTGAAATTTATAATGATTTGAATATTCAAGTGCTGGAATTTTATTAATTAATGTACAATGATCATAATGGTGAAGGACCATTATGAATTAAAAGGAAATGTTAAAGTGAATTCTAAAAAGAATTCACAATTTGTGGTTTATTTATGTAATTTAGCAAAGATGAAGGGTTAAAGATGAAAATAAATATTCATGAATTTGGAAGAGTAGTTTTGAGAAGTTGGAAATTATAATGGAAATGTGATTTAGTTGATATCGATTTAATCTCGATTTTTATATATTTTCGAATGTTAAAATCAGCTTATACTAGTACGATACTAATATTTAGTTTGAACATTTTGTGTTATAATTTGGTTTTGTCAGACTACGATAAATCTAGAAATCCGAACGATTTGAAAGGACATGACAAAGCTCGTGACTATGACTATTGTATAAAAGTTCTGTAGTGAGGCAAAGGTGAGTGCAGTTTATTTATTTTATTATTTTGATCGAGGACGACTTGCGATAAGTCAACCTCACATTATTTAATTCAAAGATATGAATTATGTTTTGATTATGGAATTATATCTATAATATTTTTAATAAGGTTTATGAATGATTTTGAGTATGAACTGCCCATGTCACATTTTACGAATGTGAATTAAATATATTTCTGATTCTAATATGATTTTTATCAAATGATTACGAAATGAACTAAAAGCCCACTGTATGTTATATGGAGAGTCATAGGTATAAATGACATGTCATGAGGTGGAGTGATTTTCTGTTCTACTTCTGATATACTGTGGTGTACCGGAGTGTACACTAATATATATATTCTGATATGAATGCACTTTGTGTGCATATTGTTATTTCTGATATGAATGCACTTTGTGTGCATATTATTATTTCCGATGTGATAGCACTGTGTGTGCTTATCTGTTCCGACTCTGATGATCTGAGATCTGTATTGCGCACACTCATCTGACTCATGTACCTTATATTTTCTTAAAATATATTTTGGGCTATAAAAATGAAATACGAAAGTTCTGAAAAGTGTCTGATTACAAAAGAATATGGACTAATTATTCTATCTGATCTGATTTATTATGATTTTGTGAAAATCATCAGATGATTCTTTTAAGGTTTCTGATAATGTTCAACATGAGATATCCGGTTTGAAATTCTGAAAGTTTGTTTATTTTATTTTAAATAAATTTATATATTTTTTGATATTTTATTTATTTGTTATCACCTTTAGTATTACTGCCTCACTAAGTTATACTTAGCGTGTGATGATTTTCATGCGTAGGGTCTGATTGAGATATAAACGTTTTATGAGGAGCCTTCCAAGCATCATGTGCAGATCATCTATAATACCAGTATCAATAAGACATCATTGAAGTTTTTTTTGACTGGTAGTGGTATATATCATTATGTTAGTAGTTTTTATTTATCGTATTTATTTTATATAATCTGCAATAGTAAACTATAACTATTTTAGTTTATTTTACTTAGTTTAGTTTTATCAATATCCATGCATGAAAAGAATATATTACATTATTATGTTTTTAAAAGATTTTACGAAAAGACATGATTTAGTAAAATTACTGATTAACAAATTATTTTATTTTCCTGTAACAAAGAAATAAATTATAAGTTGAGATATACTTTAAAAGAGATTTTTAAAGTTAAAATAAGAATGTTTTCAAATGAAACTAATTTTTAGATAATTTTAGTTCAGTAAATATTTTTAAGTTGATGTGATATCTTTGACTCGTATATCGATATGCATACAAACTAAGGGTGTTACACATTTGTTGAGGAGGTGATGGAACTGGTAGAGCTTACTCCATTAACTGGGGCATTGATTTGGCTGCCAGGAGTTGATGGCTTATCCACTGAACAACGAAAGAGGCTCACTATTGCTGTTGAACTGGTTGCCAACCCTTATATAGTCTTCATGGATGAGCCCACATCAGGATTGGATGCTAGGTCAGCTGCCATAGTAATGAGGACTGTCATAAACATTGCGAATACCGGACGAACAATCGTGTGTACTATCCATCAGCCCAGCATAGAATTTTCGAATCATAAAATTTTGGTTGAGAGATGATATATCCTTATGACACGCACAAACATACACATATAGAAATTATCACAAACAGGCAAAATTATTCTGTGCCACACGCAAGTACAAGGGGAAAGTTATTTTGTACTTCACCATTACATAACCATTTTGGTCCAAATCATTAAGCTTCCTATTTAATCTATGTTTGTAGCTTTTATTTATGAAGCGCGGAGGAGAGCTCATATATGCTGGTCCACTTGGCCCCAAGTCTTGCGAACTCAAAGTATTTTGAGGTCGGATTCTGATTGTTTATCTCCTATATGTTTCCTCCTTGTTTACCAAACTATGAACTTGGCCACTGTCAAAAGAAAAGAGGAAGTTGGTGTCATTCACGCTGACTGTACTTTTGTCTTTCTAGGCTGTTGGAGGAGTGCCTAAGATCAGACCTGGCTTTAATCCTGCTGCTTGGATGCTGGAGGTTACTTCAACAGCCGAAGAAAATCGTTTGGGGGTGGACTTCGAAGAAATTTATCGAAGATCAAATCTATTTCAGTAAGGGATACTTTCCAGCCGTTGCATTTGCTTATTCATTTGGTGTTTTAGTTCTAACCATTTTTTTTCAAAAACTTCATCTAATTTCGTTGCACTACTTTGTTTCAGGCGCAATAGGGAGTTGGTTGAAAACCTAAGCACTATGTTGCACTGATAAGGATACGGGGACGGGAAACGATAATTTTTAAAATTACAAGGTATGGGGACGGCAAGAGTACGTCATATAAAATAATTTTAAAATTATAAATATATATAAAAAATCATAAATAAACTCAAATATCAAGACTCAAACAACAATATTAAGTTTAGATATCATACATCAATTGAATGTAATTGAAAACAAAGCATGCGAATATAAAAGGCGAAAAGAGATGTTCATCATAAAACAACAACATTCACATGAACCAAATCCTAGGACGAATATAAAACAACTAATAAGAAAATAAAACATTTTAGCATATCTATACAGCAGCCCCTTAACTAATGCTCTCCCCTTAATTCCTGAATTCATATTAAAAAAGCCAACATCATAAAGAAAAGATCCAAAATTCAATCAGATTATGTGAAAGTCGCTTAAGATAGATTTCAGAGAGAGATCTCACTCTTCTGTTTAGCACATAACATTAGTTTAGCACAGATGCAAAATTCCTCTGTGAACAACTATGGGAAATTAAGGTGCAAATATCCGAACTGACCCTCAACTAGAGTTGAACTACAGCTTG